GGGCCTCTCACTGTTGTGGCCTCTCCCGCTGTGGAGCACAGGCTCCAGATGCGCAGGCTCAGCGGCCATGGCTCACGGGCCCAGCCTCTCCGCGGCACGTGGGATCTTCCCGGATCGGGGCACGAACCCGTGTCCCCTGCATCGGCAGGCGGACTCTCAACCACTGCGCCACCAGGGAAGCCCCAGGCTGGACTTTTTTTGTGCCCCTTGAACTGAGATGGGGAAAGGTGGGCAGGAGACAAGCCTTAGCCACAGCCTCAGTTATTTACAATCAGGATCGTCTCCAGGGGCTTGAGGAGGTCCCACAATAGGTACTGTATCTCTGGTCCCAACCTCAGCCCCTTACCCTTACGCTCCTGTCCTCCGAAAACCCTTACCTTTGCAGGTCTTCCTGTCCGGCTGCAGCATGAAGCCCACAGGGCAGCTGCAGTGGACGCCCGTCGCTGCATCGTGGCACTTACTGTCGCAGCCCCCGTTGTTAACAGCACAGGTCTCTGTTTAGGAGGGAGGTGGGAGATGGTAAGCTGGTTATCAGCTTGGAGGAGTCCCAAACGTGAGGGTATAGGAGGGAGCACAGAGGCCCAAGGGAAGGCCTTAGCCTCCCTGTGCTTTAGAAGGAGCATTAAGTGGAGGCTCCCAGCCCCCTTCCTCCCATCACTCCCGCCCCCATCCCCTCACAAGTACAGCCAAGCAGTCCACTTCCCTGCCCCCTACTTGATTGAAACAAGGTGGACAGCAGTGAGGCAGGTACAAGCCAGAGCTGTCAGGCAGGAATGTGCTGAGGGGGTGGAGGAGGTAGAGAGGGGAGGGCGCAGGGAGGGATGGAAGCTAAGTAAGGGTGGTCCCCGCCGCCAGGGATCAAGAAGGGACAACAGGAGTTTCCTCCTCTTTCCACCGACCATCTCGACTATCTCATTGGCGGGTGGGGGGTCATGGTGGGACAATCCTGGGAAGAGTGAGCCTGGTGATTCCTAAGACAGCTGAGAGATGACCGTCAGTCCATTTCCCCTTCCTCCCTGCTCAGCTGTCTTAAGAAAGATCCCAGTTCCAGGACTGACTGCTCATCCTCAGAGGAGACAGCTAGTACTCCATCATTTCCCAGCCCCTTCCTGGCTACCTCCAACTCCTCCCAGGCCCTCCTCTTAGTTCCAGAGGGAGATAAGCTGGCTGTCCTGTTGTTGTTTTACTTTCCTAATGGGGGAAATACTGTCTAGGCTAGGGGAGGGGGCAAAAGGAGAAGAATCCAGAGGAGAAGGAAGGGCGTAAGAAGATAGGTGAGAGAGTTAGAGAACCTCAGAGCTAAGTCTCTTCTGTTGACCCCTCCTGACCGGTAAGCTTTCCCTTTGCTGAGAGGTCGGAGTTGGGGGAGTATGGATGGGCCACTCTCCCTATTTTCTGAATTCAGAGCAGGAGAAAAATAGAGGTTTAAACTGCAGCTCAGGAGAGTCAGATGAGCCCAGGAGAAAAAACATCAGCTCAAACAGTGCAAGGCCCTGACACAGGGACTGTGAGGGAGGTGTGGTCCATCCTCTGGGGGGGCCTAGAATTCTCCCATTAGAGAGACAGAACCCTGAGGCCTCCACTAGGGAAGAGAGGAGAGAGGTTCTCAGAAGCAGGGGAGCTGAATGAGAAAAGTGCTGGAAAGTACTATCATCTTCTTGAATCCTTGACTCCTAAAATTCAGGCCCAACCCTTGTCACTGAGGAGACCCGCAGAGCAAAGACTCCAGAAGAAGCCCAACTCTGCCTGTGGGTCCCTGGTCATGCCCTGGGCCCTCAAATGCCCAGGTCTGGGAGCAGCCACAGCGGGATCTCCTATGTGCCACTCCCACCTTAAGTCTCTCCTGAGGTTCCCCGAGACCATGGGAAGAACCTAGGAGAGAACCTTGACTTCAGGCTCCAAGCCAAGCCATCCCCCACAAGAGTGGTCTTAGCATAAGAAGAAACCCTCTAAGCCCTGGAGCAGGGAGAGGGGAACAGAGATCCTGCACCAAGTCTAGTCAATTCTGAGGGATCCAGGATGGGGAGCAGTAGAGCTGGCACACTGACCATCCCAGGCTGGACCAGGAAGCTGGGCATAGCTGCATGCCCCTGCAGGGCAGAGCTCTCCAGAGGGGCCTCTCTGGCTGCCTCAAACCTCTGCTCTTCAGGCTGTGTATTTAAATCACAGTTTAATCTGTGCTTATTCTGTGTCAGGCACTTAGTAGATGCTATAATGCACTATCTCCATCATCACAGCAATACTAAGAGAGGACTCTTATTCTCCCTCTTTTACAGAAGAGTAAACTGAGGATCAGAGAGGAAAGCAGCTTGCTTAAGGTGGCACACTTAGAAGGTGGCAGAGCCAGGATTCAAACTTGGGTCTGTCTGAACTCAAATGTCGTGCACTTAACTGTTATGGTGGGAGAGAATGGTGAGTGATGCTGGGACTGTGAGCTAATATGGGTAAGAACCCAAGGAGGGGATGGCATCTAACCCTATCCCACCCCGATCTCAGTGGGCACGATGGGTAAGTGCAGCTGGCTGGGTCTTTAGCTGTGTAGAAGGCAGAGAGAGGGAGGGGGCAGATGGCTGGGAAGGGGTGAGGTGTTAGAAGGTGGGACAAAGGAGCAGGAGAGGAAGGAGAGTGACAGGATCATAGAAAGAAAACCAACATGAAGGCTCCCAGGCCAGCTCGTGGGGACTCAGGTTTCCTGTCACTCAATGGGCCCGGTACCCAGGCTGCCAGGGGAGCCCGTGGGCATGCGGTTAGTGGGAGCCCCAGCGGGTTAGCCCTTCCCCTAGCAAGCCAGCGAGAGCAAGCGGAGAGAGCAGACATATTTACCATTAGAAACGGCCTGAGGGGGGATGTGCTGCTCTAGCCGCCTTTCCCCTGTTTGACATTGTAAAAAAGCTGTTTAGATGCTGCACGGGAGCTACTGTGGCCCTCTGTGCCCCAACCCCTCCCCACCCTCCTCCTCCCTGCAGGCCCAAACCGTTGGCCCCAAATGATGAGCTCTGAGACTCCTACACTTCATTCCCCAGGGTTGTCCTGCCTGGTGTCCTCCAAGAAGCCAGGCTCCCACCGAGTGACTGATGGGAAGCTGAGTCTCAGAGAGGGGCAGTCATGGGCCCAGTACTACACAGCATGCCAAAGGCAGAGCTGGGATGCAACCTCAAGTCTTATAAGCTGCCAAATCCCAAATCCCAGAGGGTGCCCACCCTTTCTGCTAAACTGTACCGCCCTCTCAGCCTCCCCACTAAATCTGAATGTCCTGATGGCCCCGAACAACGAAGTTTCCTTCTACCAGGGCTGGGGAGAAAAATGAGATACAGGTCAAGGTAAAATCAGTTCTACTGGAGAAGAGGGAGAGGAACTTGGAAAGGACATAGCTATGAACCTTAGAACAGCCTCATTTGCTCTCTTCTGCCTCACTTGGCCATGGCCCAGAGGGTGGAATGGGTCTTGACTAGAGAAGAGCTCAAGCTTAATAGGAGTATTTTCAAAAGCAGCTGTGCTCAGGACTATCTAAACAGCAAGACATCAGAGAGGGACCTGGCCTCACACCCATGGGCCCCAAGTTCTGTCCTAACACATGCAGCTTTTCTTTGGGGACTGCATGCAATTTCTTCTGGGAGTCTCTAGGATGTGTGAGTGTGTCCAGGGCATCGTAGGAGGTTTGGAAAGCAGAAGAATTAGACTTATGAGGGAAAAAATGAAAGGAGCTGGAACAAACCAGCCTGGAGAAGGCAACATGAAGACCCAAAAATGTTCCAAGATTTGGGCGAGTTAGTTCAGAGGGAAACACGCAGCAAGAGAGATTTTAATTAAGGAGCTTTAGAACTGTGTGTGCAAGTCTCTGGAGCAGGTACCTGAGGGAGACCTTTAAGAGCACCGTCTGCTCCCCAGTTCTTGTGACTGGGGGAAAGGCAGTGCTCTCTGCAGAGACGGGGTGGGTCTCTGGAGTGAGATGGGAGAGAGTCTGGTTCTGAACCGGAATATCTTGTCTCTCATAAACACACCAAGTGACTGTGTTCACACCTTCCCATCCCCAGCATGTTGTATCCCATGAGATGAACGTCCATTCATAAATATCCGTGCCCACAGGACAAGCTTGCCCCTGCCTGGCTCAACACAGCCTTTCCCCCTGCCCAAACTCTCTGCGTTCATTTCCCACTTTTCCAAGGGGACACCTTGTCCCACTGTCTTTCTCAGCGCTCTGTGAGCACATAGCAATTGGCCTTCACAAACAACAACAACAATAAAAACGAAAGACTTTTATAGAATTAGGAATTAAGGAACTGAACTCATCTATGGGACCTAAAGATATGTGAGGTAAGGCCTAGGAATTCAGGACAAGGGGTCCAGGGGTTAAGAAGGCCCCAAACCAGGGTGAGAGGGATGGGATGCTGGAATTGGCGAGGAAGTGGGAAGGCTACAGGCAGAGCTCCACTGGAATGTGGAGGAGAGAGGAGGAAATGGGGGGCCTAGGGTAAGAGGACTGGAAGGGAGATTTAGAGGAGAGCAAGGAGAGAGAGGAAAAGATACCTGGAGCCAGGAAACCCCATTTGTCAGTTCAAGGCTGGTTGTTCCAGGAAGGAGCACTCTGTCCCACCCTCAGTTCCAGAGTGGGGACACTGGGTTGTGACGGCTCCCATCTTACCATACTTGTCAACCAGGGCCTCTGCGCAGGCTTAATCCATGGCATTGCCCCAGCTTTCCTCCCCCTTCTCAACCACGGCCTGCGTCAACAAGCACCTCTGCTAATTATTCCCAACCTGGCAACACTTTATCCTGGATTAAGAGGATGGTGAGGCTCCCAGGGGTGGGACAGCAGAACCAATGGGTGGGGGAGGGCAGGAGGGTCAGGTGAGCCCTTCAGTCTCTCAGAGTCGTCTCTCACTAGACCTGGCATTGTCTGGGTCTTCAACCTACTCACCAGTCATTCTGCTCTCAGCACTCGGGCCCCATGTGCTCCCCCCTCCCCTGGTTCCCAAGGGCCCCTACCCCCACCCCCATCACAGGTGGACTGAGTTCTCCACTGGCCTCACCCACCGATGCACGTCTTCCCGTCGGTATGGAGCACAAACTTGACATGGCAGCCGCACCGGGGACCCTGCTCTGTGTCATCGCACGTGTGCTGGCAGCCACCATTACCATAGTTGCACGTCACTGTGCAGAGAGGGCAGAAGGCCTGTCAGCTTGCTTCTCCCTGGGTACCCCAGTTCTCCATAACATGGAGACTGGTCCTCTAATCTAGCTGCCTCTCCCACGCTCTCTTTTCTTCCCACCTCTTGCTGCCAAGGCCCCACGCCCTTCCTCTTTGTCTCCCCTTCTCCCCCACTGCCGTCCCAGTTATCTCACATTTACAGTCCCGTTGGTTCTTGGTGAGTTCGAAGCCAGGGCGGCATTCGCAGGCAATACCCCCTTTGGGTGTCTCCCGGCAAATGTGAGCACAGCCATGGTTCTTGTTCATGCAATTCATTCCTTCTAAAAGGGAAGAGGAGGGCGGTGAATGTTCTGTACTCCTGCACGCCTAGAGGAAGAGAAACTAGAAGGGATAGCTGGGGCCTAGGGAAGTGGGAGGATTTCACTGAGGCTACAACACAGAGGAGACTGGCTCCCCCTCACAGGGCCCCTGTCCTGCCCATAGAGCTGGGTGCTAATGAGCAGAGCTCAGAACTATTCTGAATGAGATATAAGTATTGACAGCCAGCCTCCCAACCCTGCATGATCACCCTCTCCTTCAAACAACCAAAAACTAGTGTCTAATAGCTGTCCAGCACTGTGCTGGTACTGGGTGGATCTAGGAAGGATCCAGAAAAATGTAAGACATGATCTCTTTCCTCAAAGAGCTTACAGTCAGAGTGGGAAGAAGATAAGTAACATTTATTATGTGAGTGAGGAGTAATTAGTACAGATAATCACTACACGTCTTATTCAACAAGTATTTATTAAGCTCCTACTACAAGCAGGGCAGTATGTTAGGTTCTGGGGATACGAAGATGAATTAGGCATAGTCTCTGCCCTCAGGGATGTCACAGTCGGCGGGGGTGGGAGGGTAATGGCAGAGTCACAGAAACAGACAACACATACCCCACTACGCCTGCCTGACCCTCCCAAGCCAATCCAAGGAATAGGGCACGGGTGAGGTCCTCTCAGATAACATCGGCTTAGGGCTCAGCCATCTACAATTAGGAGCGACACTCATCTTGGGTCTGGACACAGAGGATGTCCCATGGTAGCCTCAATCCCATACTGACCCCCAGCCCCAAATGAATTCTCCCAGATTTTCCTGTAACCCCAAGTATCTGTCCATGGAACCCTTAGGATGTAACTGGGTTGAGGGACAAGAGAAGAAAGAGTAACAGAGGGTGGGACCTAGGGGTCACTGAGGGGAAGCTCCAGAGCAGGTGGAGAGAGAAGCCTGGGAGTGCAGGGCTGGGCCCTCCCAGGTCACAGGCTGACCTTCTGGCCGCTGGATGCAGGTGTGCTGGTTGTCGCTGAGGAAGAAGCCTTCCCGGCAGTGGCACTCATAACTGCCCATCATGTTGACACAGCTCTGCTGACAGCCACCGTTGCCCTCGGCACACTCGTCCACATCTGTGCAGGACAGGTGGTTGGTGAGGCCGTGGGTGCGGGCCAGGGTCTGGTCATGCGCTGGGACTTCAGCACCCAGGGCTGAAAGCAGTCTTAAGAATCCAGCACACATGCACATCCCCTCCACGGAAATCCAACTCCCAGCCTTACGCTAGGCAGTTCTCACCCCCTCATCAGCTAACGTTCCACTGCCTGTGAAGAGGCCACTCTAAGAGGGCAGAGCTGGGGAGTTACACAGGTGGGGAGGGGACATTCCAACATGGCCTCCCTTTCCTTCACCTGTTGACATTGGGTCCGAGGGCAGAGGACATTAGGAAAGGAGTCAGAGCAAGAGAAACAGAGATGAAGATAAGGATGGAGACGGACGACGGGGAGGAACTGTGGGCAGCTGGTTGTGATGAGCAGCCAGGGAATCAGGGCTCCATGTGCAAGGAGAGCTTTGGCCACGGGGCTGAGGTTGGAGGGGCAGGGTGGGGAAAGGTAGTGAACTTCAACTCATTGTGGGGCAGGGACCATTTCTGTGGACAGGCCATGACCCCGTCCTTCCTCCCCTTCCCCCATGCCTGGGCTTGCTGCCACATTCCCTAGCCTTTCTCCTATTTTGGTTTAACAAAACAAAGTCTGGTAGCTTGGCGGGGAGGGATGGGGGAAGAGCTGCCAGGCCACACCCTGATTACCAACCCCAAATCACCACCCCCAGGCCCCAATGCCAAGCTCATTCCGGGGCTCCCACTTCAATGCCTTGACTCCATCTCTATGCTGCTTACTATCCTCCCAAGTTCACAGTCCTTCTCAGTTTTCCTTGGCACAGGGAGGCATCAGGGAGATGGACCCAAATGGACCAATCTAGCTCCTAAGGGACCTGACACCTAAGGGTCTCATCTGTCCTCTTCCCATCCTCTCTGCTGCGCCCTGAAACCCTGTCCTTCACCCTTCTGGCCAAGGGCAGAGAGGCCCAGATCCAGCAGGCTCCTGCCCGAGAGATGCATCTGTAGGGAAAGCCAAGGAGGTATACATTTTTTTGCCTTGTTCCTGTCCCATCTCCTACACCCCTGACTTCTCCCTATCCCTGTCTTTCTGCTCTTACCCCATCCTATATTCTATCCTTCTATTTGCTCCCTTCTATTCCAGCCTTGTGATTTTGCTACTCTAGCCAAGTTCTTTCCTCTAGTTCTCAGTGGGGAAACTGAAGCCAAGGGCATGGATGACTTAGGGTTCCCCTAAAAGACAAAGGTTAAGAGTCTGAACCCTATATAACCCTAAGGTTAGGGAAGCATCAGCATCCCCCTCCTCCTCATCGTCATTGACATTCCTCCCGTTTATTGAGCACTTACCATGTACTAAGGATTGTACGGGGCTCTTTACACATGTTCTCTCATGGTGAGTCACACAGCAGCCCTTTGAGTGGGATACTACGATCCCTATTGCCCAAGGCTCCATAACTAGTAAGCAGCAGAGCCAGGATCTGTCTGGAGCCAAATCATCTTCCCACCATGCTCCACCTCCCGTGACTAAGCCCACTACTGTCATATCCTGGCCCTTCCCCTGAGAACACTTTCTAGCAGCATCTCCTTCATGTTTTTCATCCAGCAGAAGGATTATTTCATCCTCAGCATCTAGTTTCCAGGGGGAGGCTGACTTTGTTTTCTATTTTGTGGGAATGCAGCTTTTTGTGCACTTTCCTCTTCTCGCCTGGGAATAGAAAAGGCTAAAAACACCTCCTCCTCCACAAGACATGCCCTGCCCCACCCTCGCTCACCCAGACAGTTGTGTCCGTCATGTGCCAGGTGGAATCCATCATAGCAGGTGCATCGGTAATTGCCAGGGATGTTGACACAATCGTGCACACAACCTGCATTATCCTCCCGTTCACACTCATCCACATCTGTGGGCAAATAGGAGTTGAGGCAGCTGGACCCACCTGCGTGCCCCCGACTGTCCACCCCTGGGTTCAGCCTTATGGTGGTTTTTTAAAAAATATAGAACCTCTGTGTATGTGTGTGCTTCTGTATGTGTCTCTGTTTCCCATAGTTACTTTCATAGCCTACAAACTATTTTGCATTTTGCTATTTTCATCTAAACTTAAGTCATAAACATTTTTACGTTTCCATCCAGTCTTTCCAATTATCACTGTACATGGCTGCAAAATATTCCATTATGTTGCTACATCATAACTTATTAATCCCTTTTCTCTATTGTTAGTTTCCTTCCATTTATTTTTCTATCATAAATGATGCATCAAAAAACATATTCTCCCATATAGTTTCTTTGAATTTCCTTGGAACAAGTTCCTAAACATGAAATTCCTGGGTCAAAGAGTATAAATAACTTCAAGATTCCTGCTAGTATGACAAAATCACTTTTCAATTCATAATGTCACCAGGAATGAACGAGTGCACCTTGTGGAAGTCTTAACCAGCACCGAAGGTCATAAATTTAAAATAACATCTCGACTGCTTTAATTTGCATTGCTTTAATTATGAGGAGATGTGTTTGTTTATAGTATGAATTTCCCCTAGGGTAGATTGCCTGTTCTCATTCTTTTGGGGCATGGCATAAGGGTCTAAAGATGGAGGTTCCAGTGTCAGGGAACCTCAGGCCTTAGTCCCATGATTCTGATCCCCCCACCCAGTCAGGCTGTATGGCCGTGAACTGTTCCCACCAGGGCCTTAGCCAGCATATATGGTGGGGCCTTTGTGCAAATTAGAAAATGACACCCTCTCTGGGAAGAAACAGCTTTCCTCCAGCCCTCTCCCCACGCCAGCAGGGACTGCAGGCCTTAGTGTAATGTACAGTGTGGCCAACTGAGAGCAGCTCAGTGGGGGTTTCCCCTCTCCGGCAGGTCCCCCTTCTCCAGGTGCCCTCCCAGCCTCACCTTTGCAGTGTTTACCATCCCCTGTGTAGCCAGACTTGCAGATGCACTTGTACGACCGTGGGGTGTTCTGGCAGATCGCATCGATGTGGCAGTTGTCAGTCCCCTCCACACACTCGTCCACATCTGGCAGGGGCAGAAGGAACACATGAGACCCTCTCTTGGTACCTCCTAAGGGGTGTCTTGAAGGTGGTCCCTCAGGGCAAAATCCCCTCTCCTCTAAAATAGAGGGCAACCCCTCCAGAAGCAGGTGGCCTCCCCTCCGATTTCAGAATCTTTCTGAATTCCTGAAATTCCTGTAATTTCAGGAATTCAGAAAGAACGCCCACTCCCCTCAAAAATACTTAATCCTCAATGACAGCTAAAATTCCATCATTTGAAACACTCCTCTTTGATTTAAAAACAAACAAACAAAAAACCTTTGGACTGGGTAGGTAGCACACTTGATTAGAAACATTCAACCTAGGGTGAATTAGTTTACCTTTCTTAGGAGCAGACTTAGAGGGAGGGGGAAGAGAAAGGCATGGGGATAGTGGCCTCTGGGAAAGTGGCAGGGTCCAGCGACTATTGGTAATTCAAGGAGGAAGAAAGGGAGACGGGGCATCTGCGGAGTCTTCATCTGCCTCACAGTTCTGCTTGAGACCAGGCCTGCTCCCACTTGCCCACCATGGCGCCAAGAATCTTTAAAGGATAGAAGTTCCATCCTGGAAGATTTGCCTAGGCCCATCCCTCAACAGCAGAGGGACTAGGAGCTGGCAGGGGCTGTGGCACCAGCAACCTGAAGCCTGATAAGTGCAGCCTTTGCGGCTCTCCAGCTGATTCATCCAGGCCCATCCATCCCACCACCCTGAGCTCTTTCATCTAACCCCAGGTGTACCTCGCTCTGACACAAGGTGCTACTCACAGAGCTATGCTGAAGAGGAGGCCACCCAAGATCTAGCAGAAAAGCCAACGTTCAGAAAGGACATAGGAAAGAGAATAATTTGTCATCTTTGGGCAAAGGACTCCAACTTCTGGGGCAATGTTACGGTGCCCATAAAGCTGAACCGAAGTAGGTGAAAATGTTTCACTCAAAAATGCGTTATAATTTAAGGCTGTGGAGGTTCGGAGATGACTCTGACCAGCCAAAAGGAGAGACAAAAAAGTAACATGAAGCAGGATGTGTCGAGTGCCACGAGGGCATTAGAGATAAGGAAAGAGGGTCCTCAACCTTGGCTGCACATCAGAGTCAACTCCCCTAGGAGATACCCAAGTGCTACCTCCAGAAATTCTGGTCAGCTGGTCTGGGCTGAGACCTGGTCATCAGTTATTTTTCTAAAGTTACCCAGGTGAGTCTAATATGCAGCCAGGCTTGAGAATCTCCATTAAAGGGAAGATCAGAGGAGGAAGAGACAACTTCTAGCTGTGAACTAGGAAACCCAGGGTAGTGTAGCAAACTGCAAGTAAAGAAATGGGATTTGAAATCAAGATCATAACTTCCAAGTGTGATCTATGGGTCATAGAATTGCTTGGTTTTTGTTAAAATGCAGATTCTTAGGCCTGACTGCTGACCTACTGAATCCAAATCCTTAAGGTGCTTGATATATTTTTTATTGAATGAATGAATGAGTGGATCAGTAATTGCTCCAATTTATAGACACCCATGAGTCCTAGCTTGAAACAGTTAACTGTTCTTTTCTTTTTGATGTCAAGAACTTCCGGGGTAGGACTAAGGCTTCCTGGGGCTAAGAAGGGAACTGAAATTTGGAAGAGTGCTCCCAAACACCTGCCTCAAATCTTCTGGGCTTCTATTCAGCTCTGCACTCTACCCTCCAACTCTTTGACCCCTCTGCAGCAGTCCACCACGCCCAGTGATCTAATTGCTGTAATTCACACTTATTCTCCACCTCCCTCAGGCTCTGCAGTCATGGTATCTGCCTGCTAGCTCACCCTAGGAAGTCATCCCAAAGTGAATGGATGGAGTAGAGGGGGCATAGAATTCTAGTTAATGAGACAGGGCAAGAGAGACCTGTGTAGATAGTAAGAGGCTGCATGGGGCTTCCCTGGTGGCGCAGTGGTTAAGAGTCCGCCTGCCGGTGCAGGGGACACGGGTTCGTGCCCCGGTCCGGGAACATCCCACATGCCGCGGAGC